TCTCAACTCTTGGATTAGATCTACAATCTGAACATTCATAATCACAAAATTGCCACGAGACTTCTCAATAATCACAAAATTATCACCGTATAACTTTAGACCGTTAGATCATTAACTTATAAAGTTGATCAATGAACATAAATTAGTCTTACGGGTCTCACGAAAAACCCTTGGTCTCACGTGAACCTCTATATATATGACATATACTTTTGCTAACTAATGCATTCATGTAGACTTTACAAACACATTTGAGCCGTTTATTTTTTTTTTGATCAATGGTTATGATTAAGTGAAAGGTTATAAACTAATTAAAAATAAAACATATTAAATGAAATTAAGTCAAGGGTAATTCTGGAACAAATTATATCGTATTTTTGGAAGATAATTATAACTCCATTTATCCCTAAAATAAGTGGGTTTCATTTAGGTTTCATATATGGAAATTACTTTGATGCATTTATGGTTTTGATTTAGGTTTCATCTATGAACTTTTATTGTTCCATTTCTTTTACCAAAGTTCATAAGTGAAATCAGATATTTCATAGACGAAACAGTGATTTTTGTTTAAAGTTCATAATGTTTTTCGTGTATGAACTTTAAGTAATATTTCTTAATATCTGATGAATGTGATAATTGAGTGAAGAAACCAAATATTTTAGGAATATGATAACTGATAATTAAGGAATGTAATAATTAAGTGAAGAAACCAGATATTTTAAGTTATATATACCACCGGCTTTTGTTTTTTAAATACTCCATTTCTTTATAACTATACAAAGTTTGACTTGTATATTAAAATCTGAAATAAATAAGGGTAAACTACATCTAAAAATGTATTTCATTTCAAATTATATTTTATGTAACATATTTAATACAATATATATATATATATATATTATAAATCATTTGACAAAAACTCTTAAAAATAGTTTTTTATCCATGAAGTACCGTTTATTGATTCATATTATTTAAAATTTAAGATTACAATCATAAGTACAACTTATTAAAGCTTCATGTTTAAATTCGTGTAACTAAATGCGGATAAACATAATCAAATAGAGAATAAATATCTCATTTAAAATATAATTACGATAATTATTGAGTTCTAACAAAATAATTAATTATTATCTTTATTAAAAATTATACTGTTAAACCAAATATAAATTAGTTCGTTTTTAAATTACTAGAAGAGTACTCGTGCAATGCAGCGAGACACATCTCGATTTTAATGTTCTATTTTATTATTTGTCTCTGTCGATGTTATAATATGATTTTATGTGTTTTTAAGAAAGCAATAATGATTTTATTTTTGAATGAAATATAAATTTGAAGATATCATAAAATTTTGAAAAAAAAAATATCAATGTTAATATCAAATCAACTATTTAAAAGTTCTCATTTTTTATGTAATTTTTTTAATTTAGTTTTTTATTATAATTTAATTTAAGTTTAATAACGACATAATTTATTTTTGGTTTAATAATATAACATTTTATAAAAACAATAATTAAGTATTTTGTTCTCAATGATTATCCTAATTATATTTTAGATTTTTTATATTTAAAATGAGATGTTTATCCTGTATTTGATTATGTTTATCTGCAGTTAGTTACACGAATTCAGATATGGAGCTTAATTAAGTTGTATTTACGTACAATCTACTTCTAATCTTGAGTTTTAAGTAATATGCATTAATAAACAGTACTTTACGCATAAAAAATGGTTTTTAAGAGTTCTTGTCAAATGCTTTATAATATAGTATAGATAATAAAATTTTAAATCAAAGAAAATTACATAAAAATGAGAACTTTTAAATAGTTAATTTAATACTAATATCACTTATTTTTTTTAAACTTTTATGAAATCTTCAAATTTATATTTCATTCAAAAATAAAAACATTTTTTTTCTCAAAACCACATATCATCATAATATTGATAGACCCAAAATATAAAACGAAACATTAAAATCAAGATGTATTTCGCTGCATTGCGCGAGTATCCTTCTAATATATATATATATATATATATATATATATATATATATATAAACTTAAATAAATAGACATGAGTCATGTAAAATCGAAAGTGCCTTTTCAAATTATACTAACAAGATGTATATTTTCTTAAAAATAAAAATTGAAATAACGTGTCTTTATTCACAAAACTCGTTCTAAAAGATAAAATAAAATAAAACTTATTTTAAAAGGAAAATATAAAACTCTTTTTGAATGATTAAGACTATGTTTGACAAACTAGCTGTTGAATAAATCATGTTTGATAAGAAACTAACTTATAAACATGTAAAATAACCAAAAAGGTCATCCTGAAAAATTAATAAATTACAATATTTCATAATATAATTAAAATAAAACTTTAAAAAATATAATATGTTAATTAATACCAAAAAGATGATCAAAGAACAAATAATATAATATGTTGGCTAAAAAATTTTCAGATTGATTATTATAAATTTTGGATTTGTTACACAAATTTTAGAAAAATTTCTATTAAATTGTGATTTTAAATAACCGTTAAATATAATATGAATAAACATAAAAGTATCAAACTCACGTATTCGAATTAATTCATAATTTTTTAAAATATATAATTAATAATTAAATTAAATAT